AACTTTGATCCATTGTGATCAGAATATAGATAAAATGCCAGACATAACCAGATTAGATACCAGGTTTTGAAAATATTATATATATAATTGCAGTTTTAAGCTTAAGGTTAATGCTTTCTTTGTTTATAAAATAAATGGAGTAGAATATTTAGATTAAAAGCTGTAGAATATATATAACTAAAAATTAACAGGAAAACAATTTCACTGAGACATTGTTGTTTTAAATATTCATGAATATTACTACCAACCACAATATTTATGAAGTAAATTCAGATTTTCATCTAAATCCTAAAAGAATTTAGAAAATCCTTCAATATTGTAAAACAAGTTTAAACACTTAACATAAAATACCATCAGTATATCAGGTCTATCATCGGAGACCTCCTCTATTACACATGATTTTTAACATCAATGCATTCGTTGTCAAATTACAAATCTGAAAATGCATGGATCTGTGAACAAATTCTTCGTGATTCGAATCGAAGCAGATAAGCTCCTTTTAAAGAGATCTAATAAAAACATCTAAATCTTATATGAACCCCAAAAATTATCAAAAATCATGGAGAAAAAAGATTGTCCTAAAAAACAAAACATATAAATAATCCTATTTCTCAGATTTAATGAGATCTGAAATAAAAAATATAATATGTAAAAAATTGGTCTATCATCGGAGACCGTCTCATCTTAAAAATGAGAATACATCATCCTTTTGTTTTGAATAAGTGAATGACATTCGATTTCTTCAGTGTGTGATAAGAAGCCAATAGAATTACGAAAAAAATGAAAAAATAAAAGAAATGAAACAGAAACAGATGGATACAAGAGAGAGAACAAAAACGTACACGTAAGCAACGTAGGAGGTGAACTCCATCGTAGCACAAACCGGTATTACTATATAAATTTGGAGGGTTGAGAAAAAAGTAGGAGATAGGAGAAGGCGGAAGATATGGTCAGGATAGCTGCGGCAGAAGGAGAAAGAATTTTAAGTTGGACTGGACATGACTGAATGTTGGACTGGGCCAATGCATCACACTCATTTTAAGTTGGACTAGACATGACTGAATGTTGGACTGGACATTTCAATTTTTTTTATCACAAATCTTTTGTAGTTTTTTTTAAATAATTGTCTTATTAACTAAATAACATTATTCAAGCAGGAAGCGATAGTAGGTATTGCATGTAGTCTATTTTTAATACACATTTTTATGTTAGTAATTCTATTTAAAATTTAATAAATTTTATGATTTCTGAAGCATCATTTATCTGTCCGTGCATCGCACGGATGATGTTCTAGTTTGTACCTAACAGTAATAACAAAAACATGTTTAGGAAATAGATTTCCACATATGTTGGAAGGTCAGGGTTGTTCTCTATTAATGAAACTCTATAACTGCATCAAAAATCAACACCTAATGAGTAGCAAAGTTAATTTCACAGTGGTCATTGTATGACTGAAATCAGATGTTGAATACATGATCATGGGCATCGGCAAAATGATGAAAAGGGGCTTGTTTTTTCACTATCTCCGATCGCCAATTACAGACACTTTCATTAAAAAAATGTGAGAAATTGTTTGAGAAATATGGTCTTAGAATGTAGGAGTTTAAATGATTTCGCTGAGTAACAATATTGGAAATAGGTTGTGTTAAGAATTTGGTGTACTTTTATTAAAAAGTAGTGATTGAATAAGTTTATATTGGGATTGAAATCAATACTAAATTTACTTTAAAAAGACATTACAGTCTGAAATGTATAAATCATTTTTGAATAACTACTGAGAACAATGAAAAGAAGGACGTAAAATTTAGGGAACAATCAATACTGTGAAAAAACAAACAATAGAAGACTTTACCAAAAATTGGTACTAAAAACTGGTCCAATGCAAATGGTGTAATGAAATTGGAGGGTTTACAGGATGCCTCGTGGCTGGTCCGGCCACGAGGGATTTATGGGAGGAGGGTTAGGCAGGACAGGAACAATCAATCAAGAGATCAGATCAGCACAGGAACAATCAATAAACAGATCATATCGCGACAGGAAGAATGAATAAAGAGATGAGATAGCTATAAGTGCTCTAATTCATTTACATAAGCTGTTTTTCCATTGCCTCGCCACCAAAAAAAACTTGCAGTAGGTACTAAGAGGACAAAATAAAATATCACATGAGAGAGCTTAATAAACACAAAAGTACTCATACCAAGTTTGACATTACCGAAGGGCAAAATTTGGACCACCATGCTTAAAAGAATCAGCAGCAGTGCATTTACCTATTCCAAATCCCACAAAATATAAATAAGTATTAAAAGAACGATATGTGACATTAAGCCCCGTGGAGAATCAAGACCAACCATTGTTAGTGGGGTTTAGCATGGGAAATAGAGGTCGTCTAGTGGAATCTGAATCCCGTGTGGCCCATTTCAACCCGTCCCTTCACGAAAATAGAGAAACAAGTCACCCTGTTCAAATACAGGAATACATGCAAAATAAACAGAATATCATAAACAAAGGCACACAGACATGAAGCACATATACGTACACTAACAAAAAAAAATCTTTATCCAAAACAGCTTGTCCGGGTCTTAATAGTACTGAAATATGTTGGTATCAATAAGAAAATTAAAATAGATGTTTCCTAGACATACCTGAAGAAGCAATTCATATTTAGAGTTAAATAAGAAAAGACTGAAGGCTCTGTGAAGCACATTCTTAGAGTAGCAGCTTACCCCAGAAACGGGTACATATCATTGGTTTGATTTACATAAGCTGTTTTTCCATTGCATCTCCACAAAAAA